TTTTTTTTTTTTTTTTTTTTTGGTTAGGAGAATTAGTGTCCTATTCCACACTGTTGTCTTTAGCCATTCATCTAATAGACAATTTGTTGTTGTTACAATTGTTTAAACTGAGTCACACTTCTAATAACATTGAGCTGCTAGTATCTTCTTTCATGATCAGAGACCAGTATTTAGTTGTTAGAAGTACACATCGTCTTGAGTTGCTTGCCTGTTAACAACCAGCCTAAATGATGTCCTGACAGTATAGGCCACCTACCCTACCCATCCAAACGTTAATACTCATAGTTCACCCCCTGTCACTACTATCCTACCTCAGTGTGACCAACACTCATGATCATCGCCCTACCAGTATCGAGGGCAACTTGGAGCAGACAGCAGTGTCAAGCACCAAGGCTGGGCCAACATCCCAGCCCTGATGGAAGCGGAAGCGGACGAACCTTGCTGTACGGGAACTTCGGACGCCAGGCTCATGCAATCTTTTGCAGGCCCAATTCAGAGAGTCTACCCAGCAGGATTACCTAAGCAAGGCAGGCCAGCGCCCGCGGACACATCCTACCGTCCTTTCCCTAGCTTACCCAAGGCTAGGCGGAACTTAGACTAGCAGGAGCGACTTATATCCCTACCCCTACCCTAGAGCTAAGCCAGGCGTGAGCAGACCCCGTCATATACCTGATATACCCCCCTTGCCCAGTATCGTAGTTGTGTGTATGTGTGTATGCCCAGAGGCTATGTATGTTTGTATGAGCCCATAAGGCCATATGTTTGTGTATCTGCCCGAAGGCTATGTGTGCTTTGTCTAACTGTATAGCGAAATGTATGTGCCCGAAGGCCAGATATGTGCAGTACTATGTAGAGGGAACTTTGTGTTCATTTGAAGAGATGACAGACCAAGCTAGACAATAATTCCCCCCAAACTCTCAAGCCAGACTCGAACCCGTGACTGGGGAGATCTTCAGAACAAACACGAGCAACAACCACAAGCAACCCAGTCAGTATCAAGACCCGACATATAACACCATGGACAACCCTTGGGTGGTGCACAGACAGTGTCTGCATAAGTTTACCATGCGTTAGCCCAAGGGAATGTGTGCCCAGCTGTGCGTCATTCTAACGCCCTACCGGTGTCCATACGCAAGGCTGCAATTGAGTTTTGAACCCGCAATCTCATACCACAATGCGCATTTCCAACCGGTGCTTTAACCACTGAGCTACATCAACTGGATTTTTTGTTTTCTTTCCTGAAAAAACAGAATCTCGGTTGTTTATCAGGGGCTCCCTGTCGATCAACTGCTGGTAAGGTAAGGGACGCGAGTGGCATTCAGGAGGTCTCGGGCTCAATCCCCATTCGGCTCATGTACCTTCCTGTTCAAGCTTGGCGGCTGCCACCGAGAGAGAGTCCCTTGGTCCCCCCGAGTGGCATTCAGCAGTGACTGCTAATGTTTGTAGGGGGAGGAGACTGGAGGGGAGGCATAGCGACTGACCCACCGAAGCAGCTCGGTCCTGATGTTACCGGTTGACCCCTGATCGGTATCGCCCACCTGCAAGTAGAGTGCAACCCGCCCATGTTCCGTCGTTGGAGGCTTGAACACGGGCTGATTGCTACGGGGTTCCCATAGTAATACTACAATGCAAAATAAAAAAGACCGGAAAGGCCGCTGTCCTCTCCAGAGTCCAAATTAAAAAAAAGACTCCCGCCAAAGGTGGGAAACACTTGAATGCCTTCGGTGT